TCTTTTCAACCAACGGTGATGAACAACCGGATATCCACTGATCCCCAACCCCAAACTCACAAGACTCAAAAATCAATTGCCCATGTATCAGACACTTCAACGCAAAAGCTAAAACTATAAAACTTCAAAAAACAAGGGCGCCTGGGTGGCTTAGTAAAGAGTCTGCCTTCGGCTCAGGTCATGATCTCAGTGTCCTCAGATAGAGTCCCACATCAGGCTCCCTGCTCTGCGGGGAGTCTGCTTCTCCCTCTCCCTCTGCCCTCTCCCTGTTCCTGCTCTCTCTCTCAAAAAAAACTTCAAAAAACAATGAAAAAATAAAATCTTAAAAAAATTTAAAGGGGCGCCTGGGTGGCTCAGTCATTAAGCGTCTGCCTTCGACTCAGGTCATGATCCCAGGGTCCTGGGATCGATCCCCGCATCGGGCACCCGGCTCCATGGGAAGCCTGCTTCTCCCTCTCCCATTCCCCCTGCTTGTGTTCCCTCTCTCGCTGCCTCTCTTTCTGTTGAATAAATAAATAAAATCTTTTAAAAAAAACTTTAAAAAACAATAATTCTGGGACTTTGTAGTAGGCAAGAACTTTTTAGATGGGATACAAAGAGCAGAAACCCCAAAACACTGATAACATCAAAACGTAAAAAGCTTCAAAAAGACCCCATCAAGAAAAAACAAGACAGTGCAGAACCTGACAGAAGGTCTGCACCATGGCTACCCGACGGCCCCGGAACCCAGACGCCGGGACGGGCACGAGCAGTGCGGGCCGGCCTCCAGCCCGGTGGGAAAGCCGACCACAGCAGAGGACATGCTGCAACGACATCCGCCCACACAGCCTCGGGGCACATGGTGACGGCATGCACAGCATGCTCAAGCCCGCGCGCTGCTGTGCGAACCCAGTGGGACAGCAACTTTGGAAACTAGTTTGGAAAAGTTTCGGAGCAAGTTAAATGTCTCTCCAAGCCCCCAAGAGAGTGAGAATGCACAAAGGTTCGCGGTGCCTTCACTCAGCCAAAAGCTGGCAACCACACAACCGTCCATCAGGGCGGACGAGACATAAACTGTGAGATGCCCACTCCTGAGCAATGGGAGGACAAGCCACCAGACCCCTGACACGGGAGTCCACGTGCCCGCGAGTCCACAGAAGCCCACCCTACAGCGGCACAAAGCAAGCTAGTGGCTGCCCTGGGCCGGTGCACAGCATGAGTCGTGATGCCCCCTCGCTAAACTCCGCCACGGGGAAGCTGCTGGGCACACGTCACCAAACTGCACATGGACGCACTGTATCGCTCCCAGGCCCCACATGACCACACGAGGCGTGGATAAAATAAAAAAGTAAAACCGGCAGAACTCATCGGGCTTTTCTCTGGGACTCCTCCTCCCCGCCCTCTGCTCCTGCTGTGAGCAGAGACAATGGGACGCTCTCGAGCCACCAGATCACAGTTACTGGCCCCCCCGGCATCTCTGTGCAGGTGCGCGGCATTATCTGCCCGCTGCAGGAAGGGGACCCGAGGCTTCCGACGCACACTTGGCAACGCCTTCCGTCCGCCAAGGGGCCCAGCTCCAGCCACCTGCCCCTCATTTCCCCACGGCCCAGAGGCAGCAGCCCCACCAGTAATGCGGCAGGAGCACAGAGACCCCCATGGAACCGGACGTCGTCCCCAGCTGCCCTGCCACATGGGCCAGGCAGACAGGGGGACAGCGGGCTCTGCCGGGCTCTGCCCCACCACATGACTCCCAGCTGCAACAGACGGCTGGTGGAAGGACTGGGGTGTCGACTCACGCAGCGCAGGAGGAGGCCGAGTGGTGATATGGCGCCCCGGACGCAGGACGAGCAAGGGAAGTCAGAGGGCCTCTCGGCCGCAAAGCAGACAGGCCTGGGCAAAACCCAGTGCCCCGGTGCGCTCGCATTGCTGGGGGGAGGGGGTGACAGCACCATCTCACAGGCTGCTGGGGGTCCACAGGCACAGCACCTGCACAGACCCAGGGCCCCAAGGAGGCCAGGGATGACAGCAGCAGCCCCTTCCCTGGACGACACTGGCCACATCCACAGACAGGACGTGGAAGTGTGCACCCCCCACCCTGAGCGACCCCCAGCAAGGGCAGGTCCAAGCATGCCCAACGGGGCCAGCGGCGAAGGACAGGACAAAGCTCCCTGGCCCGCCCCCCCGCGGCCCCCTCACAGCCTGCCTCCCACCCCAGAGGGCCCTGCTCCCTTCCGGCTGGGGGAACCAATCCCCCTTCTAAGCCTCGCACACATACCAGAGCTCCAAAATATAGAGAGCCACGCTTGCTGCACCTGCCAGGAGAAACGGACAAATCCGAAATCCTGGAGCGTGGCAGGAGCAGGATTGCAGGGGGTCCCCACCGTCAGCCCCGGGCCACCTCCGCGGCCTGGAGCGAACACTCAGAATTCAGCCACTCTGAGAGCAGACCTGAGTTATGAAGCTCAGGTGTCCCCGGATGTGCTCTGTGGGCCTTCCTAGGTGCCCTCACCCAGGTGACACGGGACACGGGTAGGATCTCTGCCCCCACACCGAGTGCACGGAGGCAGGCCCAGGGGCGTCAGGGGACCCGGAACCACATGAGCATGAGGCAGAGGAAGGAGCCTAACAGCAAGGGGATAAAGGCCCTGCAGCATCGGGGGCTCCTCCTTCCCGAGCAGCATGGCCACTGGGGGCGCCCAGAGCACAGAGCAAGAGGAGGGGTGGGGCTGGGGGGGCATCTGGCCTGCATGCAGGCTCCCGGCCCCGGGCCCATGCCTAGGGCACTAGAGGAGGAGCCAGGGAGGGCTGGGTACAGGGGGAGACGGGGCAGTGCCGCATGCCAGTGGGATGACCTCACTGTGGCGGGGGGAGGGCAGCCAGCCAGGAGCCTGCCCCATGAAGGCACCCTCCCCAGGGTGGCAGCCCGAAGAGGCTGAGGCTGCTTCAGGCCATGGAGTGGCTCGTCGTGCTGCGATGGACTGGTAATGTCTGCACAGACAAGGCACGGAGCGTCCCCGTGGCAGGACTTCCCCTTTTCCCCGTGATCGACAGCAACAGTCCTGCAAAGTGCTCTGGGAAAGAAAGGCTCTGCGACCAGATCCAAGTGCCGGCAGGCTGCGGGGCACCCCGACTGAGGAGCGACAGCACCCACGCCTGGGCCACACGACGGACCGTCCCATGGTGCTCAACAACTCCCCAGAACTCCAGTCTGGGGCAGGTCACTCTGCAAGGGAAGGCTCACCTTCCAGGGCCTCGGGGACAGGAAGCGTCTGGAAACAATCACAAAGCCGTGAAAGCCAGGAGCTGGGGGCCGCCTGGGCCTGCAGGGAGCAGAGCTGCGAGGCCGCCACAATCCCCCTTCACGTCCGCTCCAAGGAAATGAGCGCCCCCAGGTGAGAGCGCTGGAAAGCCAGAGGGCAGGGCTGAGGAATGTGTGCGGCCGGTCCCCAGCTGGTGAGGGCGCATCCTTCGCCAAACGCACCAGCACCCATGCGGGGACGAGTGGACACCCGCGAGGCAGAGCGGGGTCTGGGGCCGGGGCCACAGCAGGGTTGTGCGCTGGGCCAGGGAGGCAGACAGCTGTGCGGGAGGCGGCGGCCTTGAGGTCGGGGTGTGGGGCGGCACTCTGGGCGTGCAGGAGGGAGGCGAGCGTGCGTTAGGGTCTGTCCGGGAAGAACATGGGCCAAACAAGGGAGGCAGAGCTTTGCGAAGCACGCGCTGGGCATGGCACGGCCAGTTCTCCCACTGCGCACAGCAACCCACAGGGGCTTGCATGCCCCCCTTACAGAGCAGGAGGCCCTCAGCCTCAGGGATCCCACTGCTCGGGGCCCCAGCCAGCACCAGGTCACAAGGTCACCAGGGCAGCGGTGCCCATCACTGGGGAGACCACATCACCAAGTCGTGCGCGCGGCTGGCACCAGAGATGAGACCAACCTGTGCCGGTCTCTAGGAAAACACGTGTTTGCCTCTGCTTTGTTTCTGACACTCTGTATTTTCTGGCCCAAAGTCGAAGACTAGGTAAGGACTGAGAAATGGTCCCCAGAACCTACCTCCAGTACCCATCCGCACACCCCCACCCCACGCCTCCTTCCCCCGTCCTAACTGCCAGTATTTGGGCTCAGCCTCCATCCTCCTCCAGCTCCCAGGCAGCTCTGCACCCTGTGTGCCCCAGCGGGGCTGCGCATATCCATACAACGGGCACCTGTCTGGGACCCGCCCCGCTGAGCTCCCAGCAGAGCTCCCAGACATTGGGCTGACCTCCATCGAGCCCCCTGACCCGCTGCACCGGATGAGGGGGAAGTCACGCCCCGCAGAGCAACACTCCCCTGGAAAACAGCTGCGGAAGGACCACTTGGGCTCCGGGTGACCCTCTCCCCCACCAAGCTGTCCCACCAAGCTGTCCACCGGACGCCGCAGGGCCAGCCCAGCCCTTACTGAGGCCTGTTCTGGATGTTAAGCCAGCCACAGAGCCCGGTGCTCCCAACCGCAGCTTTGCAGGCCCGGTAGTAAAACTAGAAAATCAGCAGGTGGGCTTCACTCAGCGGACAGGGTAGGGGTACGGGATGGGGCAGAGCAAAAGAGAGAAACGTCGGGGCGTAGAGGACAACATGGAGTAACCATGGTCTTGAAAACCTCGTGTCAACAGGTGTGAGTGTGTCTGTGGGACCGCACAGGAAAACGCGTTTCTTCCCGTAGGTCATGGTCCAGAGGCAGGAAGCAGACGTCCCTCAGAGGAGAGCCGCGTCTGTGTGCGCCCAGCTCCCCGTTCCGCAGCCGGGGGCGAGAGGGCAGGGGCAAAGCAGAGGGGAGGCAAGTGCAGCTGCAGGGCTGTGATATTTAGAAAGCTGTCCCCGCGTGGCCACACCAGCGTGTGCGCGAAGGAACAGAAACGGCCCCAACCCTGGCGGCGGGGACAAGGAGGGGGCATGGCGGGAGGCCCCTGGGGCCGAGGGCTGAGGAGCAGCCCGGCCGCGGTGGGTCTCTGCTTCCTGCCCGCTCGTCAGCTGGGCCAAGGGACTCACCTGGGAGCGGCTCCGGGCCGAAGCCCTCGGGGGACAGGGCCTGGCAGGAGAAGGTCTTGGCCACCGCCTGCTCCACGGGCGTGAGGGCCAGGGCCTGGGGCCCGCCGGGGCCGTGGGCCACACGCTGCAGGTCACCCAGTTTGCGCCGCACGACGGCACGCAGGTCCCGCCACTTGTGCTTGAGGTCCACGATGTCGCGGCGGCAGTAGCCCAGGGCGTTCACGGCCTGCAGGATGCAGCTCCACACACAGTACCTGCGGGCCGGCTCGGCCTTCAGCAGCCCCGGGCCGAACAGCAGCTGGTGGTGCTTGCTGACCTTGGACACCAGGACCTCCGTCTCCTGTGGGCAGAAGTTGGGCTTCCTCTTCTTGGCCCGCGTGGCACTGGGCCCCGCCAGCCGGCCACGGGCCCCACGGGCGCAGTCCTTCCTCGGGCCAGCAGCGGGCAGCGAGGTGGGCCCCGGCGCCCCACTGCCTTCAGGAGTGACCCCTGGCCCTGGAAAGGCACCAAAAGGTGGGTGTTGAAGGCCTGGGCCGGTGGGGGTGGTGGCTGTGGCGCTGGCCTCGTCTCTGGCTTCGGCTTCAGGACACCGCTGCCCGCTCCCAGCTACTGCCCCCTCCCTGCGAGGCATCCAGAGGCCCGGGTCCGAGTCCTAGCCCTGGGACTGCCTGACAGGCGCCCTCAGCCTTCCCGCCCAGCCAAGCGCACGTGGAGGACAGGAGCAGGAGGGCAGGCAGGTGGCCGGGCCCGTAGCCTCCATCCTCTGCCCCTCTGTGCCCCCACAGCCTCCTGCTCCTCCGCTCACAGGGGTCCCTGGGCTGGGCAGGCACACAGTGCCAAGTCTTCAGGCCTCTGCCCACATGGGAGCTTTGTCAGCAGTCAGCCTGTGCCTGCCGGAGGCAGGGGGACCACCTGTAAGGGCAGAAGAGGCAGCTCCCCCATGAGGCCATGGGTTCCCAGACGCGAGGAGAGAGTGAGCCCCCGACACTGAGAGCCCCTGAGGGCAGAAGGATGTGTGAGCCTGGGGAGCACTCAGAGGTCAGCAGCCCCGCCTGTGCCCTCCCAGGTCCCTGTCAACTGGAAGGCTGCCTCTACAGAGGCCCACATGCCCTCCCCACACTAATGCACACACCAGGGACCCGCTCCCGCTACAAGGAGAAGCCAGGCTCTGGAGCAAAGGGGCCACGGGAACTCGTCCCACAGGCTGAGCCTCCTCCCTGGATCCCACGGGGCCCTGACAAGCACTGGTCATCACACAACAGCCTCCTGCCACTGGTCCAGCCCTGCCATCTGCCGTCCTCAGGGAAGGGGAAGGCAGTGGGGGGGAGGGTGCAGGCCAGAATCCGTGCTGCAGCTTGCCCCCAGCTCAGCACGCCTGGGCTCCCGCCTGCTGGCCCTCCCTCCTCAGCACTTGGCATCTCGGGGTGGCCTTTCCCAGGTCCCCCCAGATCCAGCACCCAAGCGGAAGTACCTCGCTTCCTGGCCCTCGGGCCTCTGGGCATGCCTGCCGACCCCAGATCACCTTCCCCGTCCTGGCCCACACAGGGGTCCTGCGGGCTGCTCTCTGGCGACAGGCAGGGGAAATGGCGGGTTCCGTACTCGGTCCGACATTCAGCGCATTCTACAGACAGCAAGGAACATCACAGTTACACCCAGCCTGCCCACAGAGCAGCGCAGGGTGCAGATGGCAGAGCAAGGCCCCACACGGGACAGCAGGTGCCCTCAGCCCTCCAAGCATCCACACCAAGCAGCTCCACTCGGGCCCACCTCGTCCAAGAAGCCCTCCCAGACTGACACATCCTGTGCAATAGCCGCTTGGGATGAAGACCAGCACCGAGTTCAGAACTTTAAACGTTCCAGACCTTTCTTTAAGCCATGATTATTCTAAAAGGTGACCCCAAAGATGAAATCCCCTAGAGCAGGGCTTCAGGTGTGGCCCACAGACCAGGCCAGGCCTTCGATGGATGTTAGCTGTCTGCGACAGATGATGAACAAAAATGGAGAGTAAGGACTTTGGGATGTTGACGACAATTCGAAATCACCACAGCACCCCAGCATGGCATCATTCTGTTTATAAAAATGTCGTTCCGTGGCATACTGGGAGTGAAAACATAAGTAAAACCCACCCTTCCTGACACTCGGCTGCAGGGCTGAGGAGCAGTGGTGCTGGGCACCCGTGTGGCCTCCTCCCCATACCCAGCCCCGAACTGGCCCCGCACGGGGTTGGACCTCTGGACACTTCATTTTCTCATCATTCTCATTTATTCAAAAACACGTCCTAGACACGTTTTGCCAGAATTCGTCAACCCTAAGACACATCTCGTAAAAACATCTTGCCATCTCTGAAAGATGTGCCTTTCAGTCCATGGCCCTGGGCCATCTGTGTGACCTTGTTCGCTCTGGAGCTCTCTGGAAGGGCAGCTTCCACGGAGCGAGCTCTAGGAGGCGATGGCTGACCCGTCTGAGCACGCCCATAGCCGCCCTGAAACCCAGGGGACACGGCCTGTCCAGGGCCAGTCCCGGCACCGAGCTCCTGAAAGGGTGGCTCCTTCTCGGAAAAGGCCTTGGACTCGCATCTGCCCAGAGAAGGGAGAGCCAAGGACACCTGTCCAGCTTATGCTCTCGTCCCTCTGTGGGGGGACACTATAGCCCAGCATGACTGGACAGAAGGACTGGCCCAAGCAATCCCCTTTGGACCCCTCGGCCATCCTCCGCCTCCAGGCAGCAAGGACCTGAAGCACACAGGCGGCCCACGGGGCTCCCAGCCGGACTCGGTGGGAGGCTCCATCCCCCTCACTCCCAGATCCTCCCCCGTCCAGGAAGGATGGAGAAGGAAGGGCAGGGCAGCTGGCTGGCTTATTCGGAGATGGAGGTTCCCACGCTGCAGACAACTGCAGCAAAGTGGGTTTCCAAATCAGACTACGAGAACACTCCTAGGTGTCCAGGGAGGCAGACACGGCCCTGGACAGTCACAGCACGTGAGAGAGAGGCCAGGGCCGAGTCCCCAAGTCCAGGCATCTCTGTGGGTCTGAGGGTCTGACCATGAGCCTCCAGGACAGGGACCATCTCCCCACAGGGCAAATCCTTTCCCCTTCCGTCTTCCGGAAGGGCTGGTGGGGAGCCCGTGGGACACGTCCTCCCGCAGACAGCTGCGCCAGGCTCCCCTGCGGCCACTTGCCCAGACCAGTGTAAGGAAGAGGCACAGCGATCCAGGTACCTGGCGAATGGGGTCACCATCTGCTTCAGAGCCCCCAGAACCCCCCCATGGGAGCAGGGAGGCCAGGGGCCCAGCTGGCAGCCCATGTCACCGCCCACATCACCACCTGATGCCCTCCCCATGCTGGCACCTGGTCATGGAAGTCCAGGCCCTGCCCACCTCCTCCTGGTTACTCCACGTGGTCCAGACGCCTGTGGAGGGGCCGGTCTGGTTCACCCTCCAGAATCACACGACCCTTGAACTTTCAGGGGGGCCTGAGACAATTTTCTGATTTAAAATATACACAGTTACAGGGAAAAGTTCAAATGCAGACAAATACAAAGAAATGATAAAGATCGTTTGCAATTACAGCACCTGGAGGTGAACGCTGTGACCACGGGGTTGGGGGTCTGGCACAATTAGAAGACTCTGGACACGACTTTGCTTTACTTCATTCAGCACACCTGTCACCACATCCGGACACGTGCGGAGGCCCCCCAGCGACCTTCGACAACTCAAGCTGATGCCCACATCTCAGCCGCCTCCCTCAGCGAGGTGGTGACGGCACTCCTGCATTCTCCGTCCACGACCATGCCACAGCCAGTGCCCCTGCCCGCATCTCGATGCCGTCCTAGCAGTCCAGGAAGAGGCAGGGCCGGGCCAGGAGTGAAAAGGCGGCGGGGTCCGGGAGCAGCCGCGCCCTCGCCTCCGGAGCGAGCCAGCTCCGCCGTGGCCCAGCAGTGTGGGCACTCTGCCCCCTTCAAGTCTGTCTCTCGGGGTGGTGGTGAGACTCAGCCGCATTTCCTACCTCTTCACAGGGCTGGTCCCTTTGTAGAAGATTTTTAGGTTTTCCTTTGATTTATGTGAGTTCTTTATGTATTAATAACCTGCCAGTTGGCTTTTTGCTGTGTTTTTGCTGCAATTCTACCACAAAGAGATCACCCTAAGCTCCGCATAATTACCTACAGGGTGCATGAACCCCACAGTGCTCGGGGCACAGCAGGTCCCAGGTGGTGGTGGCCTCTCCTGCACAGATGGGGGTCCCCGCCCGGCTCCAAAGTCCCGCCCAGGGGGCAGCCCCTCCCCGGGAGCCTTCCCGCATCACCCCGCAGAGGAAAGAGTGAGGAACCAGCAGCACCAGGCCTCAACAACGGTCAGCAAATCAGGACAATGTAGGTCCTTTCCCGACAAAAATGCAATTAACTAGATATCAGTTTTAAGAGAACTAAAAAAAAATACATATATTTGGAAACCATGAACTACGGTTCTAAATAAATCCTGAAGGGAAAAAATCATTAAAAAATTAAAAATTAAAAATAAAAATAATTCCTGAGTCAAATAAGAAATCAAAATGGAAATAAGAAAACACAACTGAATTGGGGCGCCTGGGTGGCTCAGTTGGTTAAGTGACTGCCTTCGGCTCAGGTCATGATCCTGGAGTCCCTGGATCGAGTCCCGCATCAGGCTCCCTGCTCGGCAGGGAGTCTGCTTCTCCCTCTGACCCTCTTCCCTCTCATGCTCTCTCTCTCTCATTCTCTCTCTCAAATAAATAAATAAAATCTTTAAAAAAAATAAAAAAAGAAAACACAACTGAATTTTACTTTAAAAACACTGCTCTCGGGCGCCTGGGTGGCTCAGTTGGCTCAGACTGCCTTCGGCTCAGGTCATGATCCTGGAGTCCCTGGATTGAGTCCCGCATCGGGCTCCCAGCTCACCGAGGAGCCTGCTTCTCCCTCTAACCCTCCCCCCTCTCATGTGCTCTCTCTCGCTCATTCTCGCTCTCTCTAATAAATAAGTGGATCTTTAAAAAAATTAAAAATAAAAATAATAAAAAAATAAAAACACTGCTCTCTTCTGAATGTCTGTCACTCAACTAATGCAGTGACCATTTGGACACTGATAATCTCAAGTGTTTTTACTACAAAAGAATAAAAACTAAAAAGGAAGGACGTAAACATCCAACTTAGGAGTTAGAAAAATAAAACAGCATCAACTCCAATAGAGAAGGAAGAAATGAAAAAGTATGAGTGGAGATCAATCATACAGTAGAAGGTATCAAGAAAGTCAGAAATCAGTTCTTCGGGGAGACTTACAAAATTGCCAAGCCTCAGTCAATACTGATTATAAAAAAAAAAAATAGGAGAAATACAATTAAGCCCTATTAGAAATAAAAAAGAGGATGTGATGCAGATATGGTGACCATTAATAAAACAGCAGCCACCACAATGGTAGACCTTGAGCAGCCCTCAGCCTTCGTGACAGCCCATGGCTGGGCAGGGGCAGAGCAGGGCAGGCAGACCCCACCAGGCCCTCCAACACACCACAGTGCTGCCCCATTGACAACCAGCAACTACCATCTACACTTTATTTCAACAAATTCGAACATTTAAGTGAAGGAGACATATGTCTCAGAAAACACAATTGAGCAAAACTGACCCAAGAAGAAATAGAGAACCTGGATAGTTTTTGCAACTGGAGAAGTGAACTGCTAGTCAAAAAGCGCTCCACGAAGGAAACACGAGCCCAGTTTTATAGCAAAATCCCAGACACACTTAAGGAACGTGTAGTCCTATTCTTCCAAAAATTCACGCGGAATATAAGCACCATGTCAACCAGCATCATAGAGGCTCCAACCAGCTCAGGAAGGTGAGAAGAAGAATGGACGCATTAGGGAAAAAGAGAAAAAAAATGTCGCTATTTACAAATGATACCATCCAAACAAAAAAACGTAAGATTCCACAATTATTACAGTCAATAGAAGGAGTTTAGCAAAATATAAAGTCAGTGAACAAAAATCAATCACACTTCCCAGGAAAAACATGGTTCCTTCCAGAAATAAACTTCGAGAGAAAAACAAACAAACCAAACAATGGAGGAGAATCCCGAGCTTCAGAGAGACTTGAAAGGCCTGTCAATCAATGGCAACGCACGCGCGCGGAGCCCCCACGGCATCAGAGGTGCCAGGGGGCACCTGACCCGGCACTCTAGAGGCTCTCTGGTTGCGCACATTCGCTCCTTGCAGAGGTATGGGGACGTGTCCACGCGGGAGGCATGCTGTGTCTGGGACTCACCGCCAAATGACACAGCAGCAGCCCGAGGTCACAAGGGGCTGGGCCGGCCACAGCGGACTCCTGAGGAGGTGGACTGGGCAGCACTGGGCTCAGTACGTCATTGTGTCTACTTTTCTGTGTTTAAAATTGTTCGTATTTAGGAAGTTTAAAAATAAAGCATTTAAAAATTAAATAAAATCTCTGGACTCTTCCTTTTTTAAAAAACCCATTGTTGCTTACGTGTACCCACCACAAAGATTTGGAAAGTGTAATACTCAGAGTGGTATCTCTTCTAGTAGCAAAAAACGTGGGGTTTTTTTTGTTAAAACAACCTTAATAAAAGATGTGTAAGATCTTGGTAATGAAACTTATAAAACTTTACTGAAAAACATGAAAGAAGATCGGAGAAACAGAAAGACACATGTGCTCACGGGTTGGGAGCCCACCAATGGTAAAGACGCCAGTTCTCACCACATTCATGCAGCGGATGCATGAACCTGCAGCCGAAACTCCAAGCCTGACAAGGGGATTCTAAAAGGTGTGTTGTGAACAAAGGGCCAAGAACACCCAAGACATTTCTGAGGCAAAGCAAGCAGAGCAACTTACCGTGAAAAACATCAAAAATGGTAACTGAAAATTAAGGCGGAATTTTGCACAGGAAGGGAAAAACTGACCAAGAGAAGCTACACGGAAACATCACTTATCACAGCACTCTGGTTCTGCGGGTCTGTAGGAAGGGGACGGCACTTTCAATAAACAGTCCCAGGACAACGTGTGGTTCAGAGAGAGAAATACAGGGCAGCTCTCAGCCCTCCCCGCGCCCTGCCCCATAAACAAAGATCAAACCCCGGTAATGGTGACAGAAGACTTACAGACGGACAACAGTCATATCAGCTTCAGAGGAGAGTAAACGTGGCGCCAGGATCATCTCATGATAGGATTCATCACACTAGTCAGAAATGCAAACCAGGCAGGAGGGACTGGCGCGCTCAAGCGAGAGCCACGATGGAGAACTCAGCTCGCCAAGAACGCGCGCTCCCCAGCAGGCAGGTGCCACACCGAAAAGCAGGCCCCGACTGGACGAAGATGCACAGGGCAAGAAGACAAGGGTTTCACTTCCAGAATACATAAGGAAACCCTGCAAGTAAGAAGATGGCAAAGCCTAGAAAAAAATAAAGAGAGTCCGCGGGAGGAGAAATGGGTCCATCCCATCGGTCACCAGAGAAATGTAAATGAAAACCCAGAGACCAGGCCTGCCCTCAGACTGCAACCGCTCACCATCCACCACCGGCCCCCACTCAGCTGACGAGGCCGGGGCACCAAGGGCAGCCCAGACAGTGCCAACAGCCCGCCGTGCTGCTGGGTGACAGACACACTCCCTGGCCCTCACACATGGACCAGGACGGGCGCCACACAGCCACGGAGCAGGGAAACAGAAGGGAACAGAGACCTGCAGCATCAGGGACTCGGGAACCAAACCAGCAAACGGCAGATAAGATAAATCCTACGGTTCCATAAACAAAGTTCTGAGACACGCACAGCCAGCAAGGTCCGGTGTGGGGACACAGCCCGTCAGCAAGACCCGACCGAACAGCAAGGAAGCCCGGAACACAGCCCTCAGGGCGAGGGCTGGGAAAGGGAGGCGACTTAGAAGTGCTTGAAGGGGATCCCTGCTCTGCCCTGTACCAGCTGCGCAGCATTCCCGACCCCGCCCTGCCTCAGTTTCCTCCTCTGTATTTGCAAAAATAACGCCTACCCCGCACTGTCATCAGGAAGACCAGGCCAGACCATCCATCCGCTCTGCCACGGGCCAAGCCCCCAGGCACCTCCAGACCAGCTCGGTGCACCTGCTGAGGGCCAGTGTGGCGCCAGAATGACCGCACACATCAGGTCAGCCCCCTCGGCAGGGCAGCCTCTCCCAGTGAAGTCTCCCTTGGTGCTGACCCCGTCCAACATCAACCACCCCGCCCCGGCGAAGGCCAGGGTCGCTGACCCCTGGCCGCAGGCAACACTGGTCACACAGAACCCACCTACCCCCGCTACCATCACGACAGCAGAGACCCACCTACGGCCACGCCCCGCCACCCCACCAGCACTGCGAGCCACTGTCATTACCTAGGGGCTGATAGCCTTGCCTGGAGGGTCCCCCAAAAGGGCCATGGCTCCCCGGGCCACCACTGCCAGCGATGGATCCGTAGGACATCTTCTTACAGACACCAGGGCCACTGCCTTCCCACAGAGCTGGAGGAGACAAAAACCAGGTCGGGAGGGAGGAGAGGAGTTAGTGCTCAGATTCGGGGTGCACTCGGGCCCCTGCCCACCCCGCCCGCCAGCCTGGCTCCACTTCACCCTCACCCCAGGCGGCCCCATGCCCACACCTCAGCTCAGCCGGGTTCCTCCCAGCCCCAGGGCAGTGGCCCCACTGAGCCCCTTCAAGGTACCCTCTGGGACAGGCACTGGGAATAACCCCTCAAACACTGCAGTGGCCCCAACCAGAGCCCCAGTGCCCTGTGCTCTCCCCTGCATGAGCCCACCCCTGCCAAGCTGCAACCCCAGGGGCTTGAGCCACCTGCCCCTCTCTAGCTCCAGCTCAGTCCTTCTGAGCCACACAAGATGGCAGGAGGGCTGGGGGCAGGCTGCCGGGGCTGAAACCACCTCGACACTTGGTCCCAATGGAGCTTGGATGAGATACTGACCTTCACCGGCCTCATCTGCAAAGCCAGGGTAATGAGAGGACCTGCCCCCAGGCAGGCCGTGCAGAGCGGGTGACACACACTGACGGCGGCACTCAGAACACCACCACCTGTCTCAACACCGAGCATGACACTGGCCGGGAGTAGCTCGGCATCCCGCCCGCCCGATCTGCTCCGCGGGGGAACCACGGCTCCAGGATGGCAGTGGGGACCTCGCCAGCCTGACAAGTGCCCCCTGGGGCCCTCCAGGGTCATCGGTTTTCGGGTGTCTGCAAAGGAGCCGCTGAGAGCAGGCAGAGACTTGCCCAGCGTCTGCCTGATCGGCCACATGCTAGGGATGCCAGCACGGCTCACGCAGCGCTCCCAACAGGCCGGGCTGGGCTCCCTGCACTCCGCAGCCACGGCTCGACTCGGCCGTGCAGAAGCCTAAGTGAGAGGGCAGGATGGTGACCCAGGTGAGCTCATGGGTGGCGAGAAGCAGGCCCACGTTCCCGGGGTCAGCGGGGGCCCGCAGAGCAGGCTGCCCGGCCACGCTCCACTCCGGCGCTGCCTGGGCCGGCCCAGCCCCTCTGCCGCTAGGAGTTCCCCAGAACCCCAACAAGCCTTGGCTTATGTGGATTACATCCGCCAGTATTTACTGCATGACAAATTAAAACGAAGTTTTTAAGAAAGTAACAGGAAAACCGCTACCTATTAAATAAATATCTTTATGAAACAGAGCTGCGTTTTCCCAAACAAAACAGTTCAGCGAGAAGAGCCATAGCGACGGACTCTTGGCGGCTCAAGGGACACGCTGGTTCCCACACCTGCTTCCAGAGTCTGCTGTGATGCGACCCTGGTCCAAGCGAACGACAGAATCGGGTCCCACACAGGGGAGCTGTCTGCGGGGCCCCAGGGACCCCTGGCAGGGACCCAGGGTCTGCAGACTCTGGGGAAAGCACATGGTTTTCCTTACCACGGGTCCCAGGCCTTGATTCCCCACCACCCACCCAGGCCGCCGCTGGACCTCCCTTTGCTTTCTGGACGCTCCCGGGGGAGATGGGCAGCCCGGGGAGGGGCAGAAACAGTTGGTAAGGAGCGAGGAGGCAGGGGTGCCGCCAGCCTGGAGGAGAGCAGGTCTCTGCGCAGAAGTGGGACACCTGCATGCTCACCAGCACCTGGGAACACGTCGGATGTGGAAGACGGAGCCCAGGCCTCATGCGGACACAACGTGGAGGAAGCAGCACCGGGAAGAACAGCATGAAGTGTTAAGTGCACAGCGGGCACCCAGAGCCCCGGCACGCGCCCACGCTTCCCTGCACGCCTTACACAGGCTCCACGCCGTCCTCACGAAGACCTGGAAGGAGACCCCACTGTTGCCTCACGTGGCAGACGAGGACACTGAGGCACGAGCAGTAAGGCACCCAAGGCCATGCAGCTGGCGGCCGGCAGAGAAGAGCTTGGGATCTGGCAGAGCAGTGCCCGTGATCTCACTGCACGGCCTCTCTGAGAGTGAATCCAGGTCACCCGGCCCCTCGCCACCATCCTCAGAGCCAGGAGGCCCTGCCCCAACACCCAACAGGCCACTGTCGGCGCCCAGAGAACACACGGCGGGCAAGAGGTGCAGAGCTCAGTGGAAGGGTGCTCAGGTGGCGTGGGGGATGCCACCGAGGAAGCCGAAGGAAAGACGAACAGGTGCGGAAGCCAGGACCAACCGTGCCCCCACATCCGAGGGACAGCAATCATGGGGACAGAGGCCATCCAGGGAAGGGGATGAGTGACCCAGAACTCGAGGCCACTGAGCAGAGCGCCATGCAGTATGGCCAGAGGGGCCTGCCCTGTGGGGCACGCGGGGCACACGGGCCACAAAGACAAAACCCGAAACCACGGTGGCCCCAAGCGGCACAGAAGGCACTTCCAGGCAGGGATCGGGCCCTTCCCTGTCCTTCCCATCCGGCAGGGATAATGTAGGAAAAGAGGCAGGCACGACCACCTGTGGCAGAAGCAAGGTGAAGGATCCCGGGGCGGGGGGCGGGGAGGGGGAGGGAGGGAGGCCTGGGGCCGATGCTGTGCTGGGGCCAGGAAGGTAACCAGCTGACGGGGCAACAGAAGGTTCCAGAGAGACTTCCTCGGGGAGAGAGGGAAGACTGTGGCATCTAGACACAACCAGGCTCCAGGGAAACACGGTGAGCAGGAAATGAGGCCGATCCCGGTTCACCTCGAGGTTCAGCCCCAGCAGCAACTGCGCTTAGGAAAGGCCTCATCTACCTGCCCACGGTAGGATGCAGCCCAGAGCAGCACTGGGGAAGGGAGGGACCGCGTGTGTGCATGTGTGCATGTGTGTGCATGTGCGTGCATGTACGCTCAAACCTGTATGTGCATGGGTGTTCATGTGTGCTAGAGTGCGCACGTGCGTGTTCCAGCATGCACGTGTACTCCAGCATGTACGTATGCTCAAGCGTGCACGTGTTCAAGCATGTGTGTGCGTGTATTCGTGTGTGCTCGAGCACGTGTTTGCATGAATGTTCGTGCCTGTGTGCTCGAGCGGGTGTGTGTGCAAGCACAGGCTTGAAAGCACACGTCCATCAGCTTGCAAGTCGATAAGTCATGCCTAACCGTTGAAAACCACACAGCAGCATGACGGAGCACATTATCGAGAGCAGAGACCCGCTATCCAGAGATCTGTAGGGTCAGAAGTAGCTAACTCTGGGGAGAGGAAGAAGGGACAACTCTTCTGTCTCAAACAACCTTGTAGGGCTCATTCATTCTCCAAACTTTAGACAGGTATCATCTTAAGATACAAAGCTTCACTTGTAAGATTCCAATCAGATCATCATCCAGAAAGAGAAGTCTGGAAACAAGAGTAGGGTGGACAGGCTGCGGGGGTGTCTGCCTTGAGCGGACGACCCGGGCAGGGACCCAGCACTCTCCTCAGATGTCTGGACGCGGCCCCAGAGTCACCGTGTTGTCCTGGGGGGCTACCAGGAGCCCAGGCAGGCACCCGGGAGGCCTAGGCACACCTCCGCAGATACACCCTGGGGGCCCACAGCGCACTGGGCACTGCATCCAATGTGAACAAGGTGGGCCTGGTCCCGGCCTCGGGGACGTGAACGTTGGTTGGGAGCCAGCCAGAATGTCCTGTGACGAGGGCTCCACCAGGAGGGCGCAGGGACCCGGGGGGCACGGCTAGACCCCAGACTGGGCGGGCCTGGCAGCCCCCCGAGGAAGCAGCCCAGCGGGATCCAAGCCAACTGGGCTTGAAGGGAGAGGCGCAGGGGCGGCTCTGGGAAGATGGGAGCACACAGAGTGCCCGGGCCGACTAGAGGAAGTGACAGAGGCTGGGACTCTCCCAGCCCAAGAGCTCTCCACGCACCCAGTGCAGGCAGGGCAGCAGAAAAGGGGCAGAGGGGCCGCGGGGCAGAAGCAGGCCGGGGGGCCTGCCCTCAGCTGTGTCCCAGCAAGCAAAGGGCAACAAACGGCGGGTCTACCGAGGCAGGAGAGAGAAAAGACCCGCAGCCTGCCACCTCGTCTGACTTGCAGTCTCATTTTGCTGTGCCCAGGGCACATGTTGCCGGTGTTTGCTCAGCAGACCGGGAGGTGGAGGCTGCCCCAGTACCAGAGCCACAAAGAGGCCCAGCCTGAGGGCCAGAAACACGGAACCCCAGCACCTGCCCTCTGCCCGCTGCTCTGCGCCCGAGCCCCTGGGGGCCTGGAACCCAGCAGCGCCCCCCCCCCCACAGGCAGACGGCGAGGGGCTGCGGGCACACAGCCAGGCCCCCCAGGTGCCCTGTGCCCCAGCCATGCCAGCAGCTTCCTCCACGCTGCTCCTGCTCACCCACCCGCAGCTGCACAAAGGCCGTGGCAGCCCCCCGTGGCCTGGGTGGGCGGAAGCTGCAGCAGGGCCAGGCCGGAGGGCTGGGTGGATGCTGACGGGCTGCAGGGCCCAGGAACGGCCCGGGACGCCCTCAGAGCTGTGGGACGGAGGCCACGGGAACAAGGTCAGCTCCCTAGGCAGCCTCCCACCAAGCGTCTTCCTTGAGCCAGGCCTGCCAGCCTCCTCCGGCCTTGTGGCCCGGGGCTGGCGCCGGGCTCTTCCCCGGCCACCTCCCCTTCCCCACTCCCCAGCAGCCTAAAGGGAGCCATCCGTCCCTGCACTGCCCAAATCCTGCTCTGAGGGCAGCAGAGGAAGCGGACGTGCCAGGGAACGCCCCAGCAACGCAGCCCTGCCCCCAGGACAAAGGCCCTAGGCCCAGGAGGAGGGACAGACTGACAGTGGGACGCCTCTGGACCCCGGTCAGGAGGGAGCACCCGGATACAGCTCCAGGCTGGGGTCCAATGACCTGGGCGCCAGGGCCAGGGCTAAGACAGGGCAGGTTCTGCCCCGGACGGGCTCCCAAGTGGGACACAACCCTGCCTGCAGCTTTCGTCCATCAGCCTGGGGCTCTCAGGGGCAGTGAACTCCCGAGACGACGCTGACCTTCCTAGAAGCAGACATGGAACAGTATTTTCTAGACTAGGGTGCCCTAGAACAGGCCCTGCTCCCCTCCAGCTGAAGGGGACCCCAAAGAT